AAAATTATCGAGATGGCTTACAAAACTGGGGACAATGGAAAGTTTTGAACAATTAACATTAATAATTTTCCATGACAGATATGGTTTTTTTAATGGAAAAGAAGTTAGCTCAAACATTAACGCTCTAAGAATGTACAAGGACGCCGCCATGTTGCATGTTGCTTGCATGCTACAAGTAAATAGTAGCGATAACCGGTTGTATGTTCCTAGCGTTCGAGCAGCCAACCCACAAACAACAATTCAAGCTGTTCCTGAACATACGAGAACAAGCCGCCCGAACTCAGCATAAATGTTTGATGCCTAATGGTCTCACAACTGCTGCCCTTCCCCCTTTGACAAACATTCCACTGACGTTGGCCAAAACGACAGAGGTTTGCCAATAGAAGAGCAGTAATGAATTTGCTGCTTTGCTGAACGAATGCAGAAATGACATTTGACCCTGAGCGTCAAGGATTGGGCGAAGTCATTGGAAATAACGGGAAGTGCGTGAGAAGAACTCCCACGTGTGAAACCATGTTACTAATCACCGACACTTGAACACTTATTTAAAAAAAATTAATAAATAGCAGGTAATATTGATATGCTCGATGAGTGGCTTGCAGATACTGCTTTTAAGAGAGGCAGGACGATAGCTTGACGAAAATGATCTATATCACTGCCCTTTTTGAATACTGGAAAAATATTTGCGTTAATTGCGCCAGTCACGTGGTAAGACTGCAGTGGAAATAGACTTCTGAAAGATCTTCCGGATCTCTTTCAAAATTCTAGCAGGCAATACTGTCGAAAATTGTCCTTGCCAAAATTTGCCCGTGTGGACCGAATGACGATTTACATTCTGCCATATTCTCTGTTTAAAGAGCATCTCGAAGAACACAGACTGGTTAGTTTACAAAAGGAATGATGCAAGCTACCAGCAGGACTGCTGGATTGCATGTCTGATTGTATCGGACAAAACAAGGTTTTCCGCATTGCTCTACTTTTCAGAGGAAGACAGCATTAATGTTCAAAACAGTGATGGGCTTCAGGATTGTTTTCAGGGGATAATTATCCATCTCTGGAGAGAAACATCTTCAAAGTCATTGGTTATGCCACTAAAACTACAAGGAAAATGAAAGATCAGGAAATGAGCTTTTAACTGATTTGTCTTTGAATTCCTGAGATACCTTAAGTATTACGCATTTCTTATTTTTATGAAGTGGTGTATTTACCACTGTTATTTAGGGCAACAAAAGATGTTGCAGTTTTGTAGAAAAATTCTGCAACAGCTATACAAAACGTTTGTTTAGTGAAGTGTTCATTTTTTATGAGTGACCCTCGTCCAACGCCGACAGACAGTAATTCTCAATTTCATTCCACAAGAGGGCGCTATGTTTCTCTTGTAAACGTTGCATGCTTAGTAACAGACTCAGCGGACGAGTACGGTTTGGCAGTGGTACGGCAGGTGTATTCTCAGCCAAGACTGGAGGTCAGTGATCTTCTAGTTGTTCAGTAATATAAAATACGTGTAAGTAAGCGTTAAGCACCATTTCAAAGGAAATGTAGAATTAAAACATTTTCGTGGTAGGCTTACCTGGCTTGTTGGTTTGTGCATTTGATACCTCCATGGCCATGGTACTGGTATTTTGGTAGGCCTGGAACTATGCCAACTCGGATCGAACTCAATGAAGCGTAATGCACTGCATCTGCTTACGTTGCCTGTCGTGGAAGTACAACGTTTTAACGTGAGTCGTTGATGTAAATGGCCTAAGGGTAAGGAGGCCGGCACTTCATTTTTTTTTTTTTTACCTCCACTTGGAAAGAGAATCTCGAAAGAAATTGAAAGAAGTTTAAGTCATCTGAGGTCAAGTTCAAAACAACCTCCTTTAAAAAACAAACAAACGAGGGGGCACTTTTCATGTCTGAACTTAACTCCGTAGACATCTGATCACTTGAAGTAGTACTGCTCCCCTACTTGAAGGCTGTATCATGTATGGTGATGGGAGTCTGTTATTGATAGGCCTCCTGATTTTTGTCTTCAACTTGTAATGTACCTGCAGAAGAAGATTTTTTAATCAGCACAGAGAGGGGACTAATTACTAAGGACTTCATTAGCTTCATACCAGGAAATAAGTTAACGTGAATTTCCTAGAGCTGTTTGTTAGTTCTCCCAGGTAATTAAGTCATTAGTATTGCATGGGCATTGTCAGACCATTTCAAATTGGGTAGGGGAGGGCCAGGGGTATGTCCTCACTAGCAGCGGAAGCATGGAAGGGCAGGGGCTAGTGTTCCCCACTTTTTCGAGGGGGGGGGAGGACTTGGCCTCCCCAGTTTTAGCAGGACCTATAATGAATGGGGCTCAGTGGATCATCTGTTAATGGCAGACACCAGATGGCCATACAACTGCCCCCCCCCACTGTGAAATTTGTTTCCAGTGTGGTTGTTACTGACGACAAGACATCTGTCTTTTCAGTGTGAGTATATTGTGACAGTTTAATTGCTGCCCTCATCTTTTACTGTGTAATGTCCCTCCAGAATCCAAGGCAGTGGAAATTTGACCAGGAATTGGTCTTTGGTTATTTTTCCATATGCGCAGTTAATGTTTTTTGTGGGACTGAGACATTCTGAGACAGAAAAATCCATCATACATGTAGATTGCATCATGTCCATGCTTACTCTGCCATTGAGAAATGGTATTCACAAGATGAAATTTAGATATTTGTCAGACCTACGAGAAATGCAGTCTGAGACTTTATTATCCCTAAAAATTCTCCAAAGCCACAATCTGGGCTCTTTTTACAAGGTTGCAGGCCTGGCTGAAATACTCAGGCGTCAATAGATTTTATGTGTCTGGCTAGAGTGGACACCAGACCATTTGAAGCAAGATACAGGACTTGGACAACCTCCCCCTTTGTGTTGGTCATTGTTTGAT